TATCAGCAAGCTGGTAGCCCCAATTAGTCAATGTGCGCGGGTTGTAGTCGTGAGTGTAGAATCGGTCGCCGCGCACCAATGCTACCGCGTCTGAGAGAACAGCACGAGAGACGGTGTACCCTGGGCAGAGACCGGAACCTGGAGCCATGGGTTGCTTCGCATCCTCGACAACGATGCCAGGGTAGATTTCAACCTTGTCAGGATGGTCGTAGAGGTGCTTGAGTTGTTCTTGCACGTACTTGTCGGATGTAATGTCTTCAAAAGTATTGTGCGGCTCGAGCTTGAAGTATTTCCTGAACTCGTTGAGCGAGCCCAAGTTCCAGCTACGCGCTTGCTCGATACCAAGAACCTCGATAGCACGGAAAACAGCGGGAACTCTGTTTGGCCCGAAAGAGTTGGCACAGTCTTCAATGCTTGATGTCAAGATGTCAACAAGGCCTTGGTCAGGTAGCGTGCCGGACTCGCTTCGCTCCAGATTAGCGAACTTGCGTTTCGATGGATCCGGATCGGTCTTGCTGTAGACTTTGTTCAGGGTACCAAGGAACTCGCCTTTGCTGATAGACTTGGGATCACGACCTTCGCCAAACATCCCGTCCCACATCTCCTGCGTCCATTTCTCGTCGCGATCGGATACTGTAGAGTGCCATCGGTAAACGAGGTTGAACTCAGCTGAGACCTGGTTGCCAACGCCCATGGGTAGGTTCGCTACCTCAGCGCGGGGATTCAGCTGCCAGTTACTATCTGTGCGGTTGAGATCCAGAATGGTGCGGACGTAGTCGATCAGAATGATGTTGACGTAAAGGCCGCAAGTGATGAGACGACCAGTCTGGAAGAGATCATTGTCGTACTTCTTCCATGCTGCATCGTACTTGTCCTTTGCCTTCTTGTCGGCCTCAGCATCGCCAGTAGGTTGGGGCGCTTCATTTGCAGGCTTCTTGAAGCGCCCTTGTTCATTGATCGCGGCCAGGTTCTCGACAGTGTAGTTGTGAAAACGGTTGAACATGATCAGCATGGCGCCTACACCAGGGGGGAAGAACAACAGTCGCGCTTCCGAGAAGCAGTCAGGCTTGATCCTTCCATCGCGTCCGGTCCTCATCATGTCTTGCTCGGCCTGGTTACTTCCATACAAGGGCGATAGATCAAGGTACGAAGATGTCATGGAAACGGCGAAGTCCTCGTGGCTCGTCCGGAAGCAGTCGTGGATGATGATAGATGCCAGATAGAACAGCATGCTCGAGATCCTGTTAGGATGCAGTTCGGCATGCTTCCTGGTCATGATGCTGTCGAATACGACACCCGGATCTGGGCGCGCAGGGGTCTGCATCTGAGATGGTTTGACTGTTCTAGCATACGGTGTCCCTGCTGCGCCCACTTGGGGGTTGACAAGACTGTTGTTGGAGCCATCTGCGGATCGATACTGGAACTTCTCTCCGAGGTAAGACTGCGGTGGGTGTTGCAAGTCGTTCCACAGCTGCTCTAGGAAATTGCCTGTAACTGCTTCCCTAGTTTTGGATCCGTCGGGCAGCTTGGCGGCGGTCCGGATAAGACCCTCCATCAGGTAAGTCTTGTCATCAGTATAGCCACCAAGCATTTTCTCCTTCTGGATTTCCAATAGACTTTGGATGTTGTCGACACCAAGGTGAGACATATCTCGAAGACTGCCCTCAATCTTCTTGTACAAGCTAGCCTTCTCTTCTGGGGCAATCTTGGAGCCATCGCCTGTCTGGTCGGGAACCGGGGCTGCTGCAGCGCCTAGTAAAGCTGCTGCTGCTTTGAAAGAATTGCCGATCTTGTTTCTGAGTGTGCTGATCTCAGATGGGTCAGCCGGTTTTGGTGGCTCCGCGCCTGTGCGGGTATCGACGTGGGCGTCCCACGCCGCTTTCGCATCTGCTGTTATTGCAGCCATATCTTTGGGTGCGCTGGAAGGTCGTGTTAGTGTCATTCTCTCGGCTAGATCTGATCTTGCGACTGGGTTGAGAAGGGACAGTTTTCTTGGCGGGCAATCTGGAAGCCGCATCTTGCTCGAAGATTTGGAAATGGTAGGTGCATCCAACAGGAAAAACAGGAGTTACAGAAGGAGATAGGAGTGACATTAGAAGGGGCAAATAAGAGATACCGTCGGGCTTACATTCAGTCGAACACCGTTCAGCGAGTAGTTCCTTTGTTAGGTACGCAACACAGAGTATCTCGTGAGGTCGCTTGTGTACTCTTACCGCCTCTGCAATCGACGTCACGATGTCCAACAATCTCGCCCGTTACTCGAAGTAGCAAGAACGAGATGTGACAGGCAAGAACGTGACGACCAGCCTTGCAGATGCAAGTAGTTCAAGCCGAAGAACGCGCAGCCAGCCAAAGAAAAAGCAACCGAGGGGTATATGTGCGCAACACCAGATCAAACGCTAACAGAACGATCGAAATGGTTCAGCACAAGAGGACAATGGGAGTGAGGCTATTGTTCGTCCCACAATGGCTCCTGCCTCAGTCCTCTTATACACGCGTCCTCACACGACCAGATGCGTAACTGCGGCTGAAGCTAGCAGTCCCTCTAGTTCTCACCGGGGATCGTCAAATCAAAAAGCGCCACCCAGCCCAGCCCGTCACAGCTGAAGAAAGGTCCTCTTCTCCCACCTGGGCATCGTAAGCCGCGGCCCGGCGTGCCCAAACACGGTAAATGGCCAATGGAGAGTTGTTGATTAGCCAGTTCGGCAGGTCGAGGTAGTGCTGCGGCTAAGGCTAGGGCTGATCACGAACGGGCTTGCCGGCTGGGTTGTTTGGCTGACCGCTGGTAGGCAGAAATGAGGGCCCGCATCATCTCAGCCTCGATCTGCCTTTTTGCAGGCAGTTTCTTGCAGGCAGCGAGATGTTGAGCGTGATTTGCAGGTCGGTCGAGCCTCACTTGCTTATGAGTGTCGGTGAGCGTGCTTTTGGGAAATACGTGGGTGGGGAGATGACAGGTGGGTGGCATACTCTTCCCGCGCTTATGCAGGGTTAGTTCGGCGTTCATCGGGGCGATATGGGAGTGGCCGCCGGTCGGGCAGATCCAACAAGCCATCACGACAAAAAAGCAAAACATTGGGTTGTGGTGTGGATGATGGTTGTACCCGGAAATCAGAATCGAGCACATACTCAATGTCACAAGCCTTGTCAATATATTGAGGTGCACAAATGAGTCAAGGACAGACGTAAACTCATCACGCAGCTACATCGAGATCTGTCACCAAAGGTCCTTCAGCAAACAAGTGACGGACGTCTTTAGTGTGATTCAGCTGGCCAGAGGCATCGGCGCACTAGCTACGGGTACCTGCGGTGTCACCGTTTTGAGTGTGTGTGACGGCCTACGTCTTGTAGTTCTACAAGTCCGCCTCGCCGCAGCCTTAGCGGCTTCTGTTGTTACTCATATATTGTTCCTTGTCTTCAATTGGTTCTCTTCTCGCATTCCCCATGTGCGCAAAGCCTGCCCCCCTAGCACCACGCACCTGTCAAGTGCAGCCTCCTCAATGAACCGGTACCCATCGCCCGATGCGTCATTCTACCAGATGCCGGGCAAAATGGCGTACCTCTTGCGCTTATATTTGTCGCCAAACTCCTTGCGATACCTCTTCTCTTTCTTCCAGGCCCAAACACCCATCTGTCCGACAGCCACGATGATGAAAATGACGGTGCTCAAGCTCCAGTTGACGAGGGCCACGCCGATCCAAGCCATTGCCTCGAACATGTAGTTGGGGCATGTGACTAGATCAAAGCCGAGTCCCCTAGGGATGCCGCGCTCAGTGCTGCCTGGACGGCGCAAGTTCTTAAGCGTCAGATGTGTGCTGTAGTTGCAGACCTCGCCGATTGCGAATAGGGCAACGCCGAGATATGTCAGGAGCGGATTCGAAGGCTTAGCAGCCGGGCTGTTGGGACCATAGCTCCAGTATGCCAAGTTGAAGCCCGAGAGGATCCAGTAGTAGCCGCTGTTCTTGAAGATGTTCATGATGGGCATCGTGGCCGACGAGAAGCGGTGGACGAAGAGGGTCTCGAACTCGCGCTTTGCGAAATGGGTGACGCACATGAGGAAGGTAAGCTTCTGGAGCTGCGAGGGAGGGGCCGAGGTGCCATAGATGAGGGAGCGGCCGAAGTAGATGAGCGGGTGGATGAGGAGGGGTCCGAGGTATTCGACGATGAACACGGTTCGCCAGGAGATCTGGGGACCTTGCACGCTGTCAGCCATCTCATTCGTCATCAGACGATATGTAGTTTACCAAGATCCTTGACATCCACAGCACTCTTGTTCCTCAGGCCTGTGTCGTGAACCGTGACATCGCGCACATTGTTGATCGGCGAGCCATCGCTGCCCTTGGTAACCCTCAACCGGTGAATTGAGAACCTGGAGGCCTTTGCAATTTCTTCAAAGATCTGAGAGGCAGTGGCATCGGACGGGACGGTGATGGTCTCCGGGAGGTTCTTGATCGGGCGACCTATAGAGGGGTTAGCCAACAGCAATCAGAACGCGCTCAGCCAGGCTAGAGCCTTCTCAATGGACAGAGAGAACATACCACGGGGGCGCACGACGAGTGTAAGGGGCGACGCGGACATGGCTGCGTGCTACGTCAATCGCCGTGTTGTGCGTGAACTTTTGGTAAGGTGGACGATATTCCGACCGGCAGCCTCGGCGTACGTACAAGCTAGGCTCAAAGGGGCCAGCTACTTCGTCATTAGGGGAAGCGACCAGACACGGAGTATGTGAGCACCTGCATCAACTTGCGCATCTAGCTGACTTGTATTGACGTGCATCAGAGGCAGACTATAGAGTGTCTGATCTCGTGCATAGTAGAGTAGCATTTCGACGTGGTTCTCTTAACCTCATTCTTTCATCCAAGCTGTACCACTACCTGCCATGCGACTTCAGGGCCCATGCATGCGACCATCTCGCCAATGATGCCCTTGATTGAACGAGGATTCTTCAAATCACTGCCCTCCCAAGAGACAAGATCCTATAAATTATTAGTACCGATTGGCGGTCATCGTATGAACTGCTCGCGTACCTGAGCTTCCGCCATTTGCCCACGAACCCGAATGGGCATAGTAGCCAGGTCAAGTTGCTGCTCGATATCTTCAGCTGTCATGAGCCCTGGTACCTTTAAATCGAACAATGACATGCCGTCGGAAATGGCCTTGCCACCTTCGGCAGCTGTTGGTAGAGGATAGTCGGAGTAGTCATCCTGCTCTGCTGCGGCACTCGTCTCTTCATCACTCTTTTGCTCTTTCCTACGACGCTCTCGAGACATGGAGACATAAGACTTCTTGTCTAGCAGAGCGCGTAACTCACCATCCAGCGGATGCCACTCGTACGTCTCGGGATCTAAAACATGCTGAGTTTTGTAGTCACCCTTGTACTTCATCTTGACGCAGGAGTGGATGTAATATCCCATATAGTAGTACTGGTAACCACCCTCGAGCGCCAATGCTGCTTCTCGTAGCGCACTCAATTTTCCAAACTGCCATTGCTCGAAATCGGAATGATAGAGCATATAGACACCGCTAACGCAATGAGGTAGCAGATCGAGGATGCCCATCGCAATGAGTCGTCCATCGAGCCGGTAGCATTGGTGATATGATCCTAGGAGCTGCTCTTTCCCCTCGACCGTTCTAGACGTCTGCTTCAGCGGCGAGTCACATAAGAAACGCTTGAACCCAGACTGAGAAATCTCATGAGGTTTCTCTTTGTGTACGTTTTGCTGATAGTCCTTGAACAACTCATACTTCTCGGGCGTGAAGGCTGCCGGTTCGAGTGTCACCTCGAAGCGATGTGCGGGTTCAGGCGGGCGCTTGACATTCTGGAGTTCCGTCTTATGAATCTCACGGCTGAGGTCAAACGTGTTCTTGATGCGAGCTTTCTCCCTGGGAGCTGTCAGTCTAGTAGGAGATGCACGGCGTTGTTACATACTCTTTCGATATTGGGTAAAGCCTAGAAGCCTCTTTCACATAAGCCTCGCCTAGCACGTAGTCATTCCAATGGTTGACTGCCTTTCTCTGATCCTTCGAGGGCTTGAAGGAAGCGACGGGTAGACTAACCTCGGGTAAGCCTCTAGGCGGATGTCTCTGCAATGCTGCTTACCGAATTGTGTAGTGCGGACAGCAGTGTCGCAGCACGTCGGGCTTGTAGAAGATGGTACCAGATCTAGAAGCCGGTATCAGCTGCTGTTATGGGCATAGTGCTGCAATGCAAGGTGCTTGCAAACATGCGCCGCGCATGAGTGGGTCGTTACCTTCTCCAGCCGCGGTCCACGAGGATCTGGTAGACCTCAACGGTCAAGCTTTTCGATGAGAAGTAGTAGCTTGCTCCTAATCGGGCAAGGTCAGCCAGTGCTCTCGGCGCTCAGCCTCGTTCCGATTTCCCCCGCTTCACGCCCATACGACAGGGCGGCCATCGCAATGGCAGCATTGACTATGCGCTGTGATGCAATTCATCTCGCGACGCAGGATCTACACTCTGCGACGTCTGCCGACGCGTAGACGATGCTTGGCGGCGACGCATCGCTCGAGGCATGGGTGGGATCGGGCAGAATTGCACGCGACGCGGGGGCAGCACGTGAGGGCAGGTAACCTTAACGGAACATCAAATGCAGGCGGGAAAAGCGCCGGCTGCAACATTGACGCCCATTGTTCGTGTGAGAAGGCTTGACCGCTCTGACAGCGGTCTGCAGGCATGGCGATCCATCCATGACGGAGTAGGCATGACTATGAAAATCCACGTACGAGAATTGGCGGTTCTACTGCCATTCGATGCGTCTTTGCAGTACCCGCACGACTCACTACTGTAGCCTAGAAACGACCGTTAGCAAGTCGTCCATGGCAGGGTCCGGAGATGCCTGTCCGCAGTGCTGGGAGCAGCGAAGACGGGTTGGTGGCCAGCCAGACAGGCACGAGCCGGAACCCAGGGAAATGGTTGGAGCAGACGATACCGAAGGGCGTCACACTGGACTGCATGAGGGCAGCATAAGCGTGGGAGCTGGTGGGGGTAGTGGTCCGAGGCGGAATCGAGCGTCGTCGCGGCGGCGAGCGAGGACAGCCGGAAGGGGAATGAATAATAGCTCCTTGTCGTCGCCCGCCTGCTGGAGATCAGGGCTCGTCGGACTGATGGTGTCGGTCGAGGCGGTCAGGGGGGCTGCGACGATGCTCTGGCGGAGAAGCGCGGTCGGTCGCGGGGTCAGGACACTCACTCAATAGCACGGCGGAGGTGTTGTATCACAGCGTGCAGGGCGCGCACCACGAACTCTGGCCAGCGTCTACACGGGGGCAATTGCGCGTTTTCTAGTGGGCAATTCGTCCCTTAAATGCCTGTACGTCATCCAGCGGCCAGGCAGGCAGGCAGAGAGGCTGCAGGCGGCGCGCTGGTCTCGCGTGCCCCGCCGGCTCTCGCTGCAGCGCCCTGGGTGCGCAGACGGCCAGTGTCTGGCGCGCGCCGGCTCGATCTCTGCCTTGTCTGGCAGGGCGCCGGGGGCTTGATTGCAGTTTTTGTGCAGATATGCGCAGCGGTGCAGAGGGTGGCAGGCACCCCGGACAAAGCTCCTCTTGCAGGCGGGGCTTGGCGACAGGCGTGACGCTTCCGCGAGCCCTTAGTTTCCACGTAAAAAGTCCCTGACCCGAACCACCTACTAAAACATCCATCCACCATGCCGAACTTCTTTGCTGCTCGCAGGCTCCTTCAACATCCTCAGCCCCGTCATCCGCGGGACTGAGCCTTGCTCAGCCCTTTTGCCTACCACATCCGCCCCCTTTACACTTGCTCCCCACCACTGCCCCGTGAAGCCACACGCACACTCGCTGTCGGCTCGGCTTCATTTCAATTCACCGCCTGGCTCGCCTCTGCTCTTCCGACCAAGCCCCTCCTTGACTTCTGTGGCCGTCGCGTCGAGCGAGTCGCATACACGCGGTGCCACTTGATACTGCCCCGTCTCTCGTACAGACACCTCAGCGCCGACATGGCCGCTACCCAGCAGCTGTCGATGCAGTCGCGCACCGGTCGCGTGAACCAACGTAAGTCTGCCCACGAGACCCCACAACGAACCCCAAAAACCTGAACCTGTTCCGCGAATCTCTCCCTACTCACCGCTTTTGACTTTCGGCTGATTGGCGGCAGGCTATGGATCCCAAGGCGAGCGCCTAGTCGCCGGCGTTGTCCCGCTTTCTGCCGACAAGTACTACGTGCTCCTCATCCAGTCCACCAAGCGGAACGGATGGGTGCTCCCCAAGGGCGGCTGGGAGACGGACGAAGCGACTGCCCAAGATGCCGCCAAACGCGAAGCCTGGGAAGAAGCCGGCATAATATGCAAGATCAACTACGACCTCGGCCTCATCCCTGAGAAGCGCAGACCCGACCAGCTCACCTCCCAGGCCCCAAAGGCCTCGTACCATTTCTTCGAAGCGACTGTCGAGAAGCAAGAAGCTCAGTGGCCTGAGCAGCACAAGCGGAATCGGAATTGGTTCAGCTATACCCAAGCGCGACAGGCCTTGGCTGAACGACCCGAGCTGCTCGACGCGCTGGACCGGTGTACCATGCACCGCTCATAGATGGGTGCGGGTGCTTGCAGGTGCGCAAAGTCGCACACGAGCACCCAGAGGAATCCCAGACATGACCTGGGACCTCGCAGGTCTTTGCATCTTATTCTTCTTCTAATACTGCATCAATACGGCATCTCAAAAGCGTCGGGGGAACTATAGACATTGGGCATTGTATTGTCTACTCTACATTTGGCGTTGTGGTCGCTTTTCTAAAGCTAGAATGATGCATTACAGCTCTAGATACCAGAGCTCTGAACCAGTTGGTTCGCAACAATGCAATGCAGCCTTACCAGGCAATCTCCTCTCCATCAGTGCGGTGGTGTTCACAGTCGTCGATTCAAAAGCAATATGGTGTCTCTTGACAACTAATACCGGCCACATTCTGTCTAAGCAACTCTACAAGCGACTCGACAGTCGGATGCTTACACTTATGTCAAGCGACAATCTTTGGGGCCAAAACAAACTGTCATTCCAGATTGCATTACATTCATCAAGTCATATCGCATACTCACTCCACGAAGTCAGCTCTATTATCAGTAGGCTGCTCTCCCCGTCTTGACCGTCTTCAGCACACCCTCATCCGCCAACTTCTCTATCATATTGTAAAGCACAAAGTCGCATCCCCTCTTCACCACCATATTGATGGTTACAGGCACCATCTCCTCATGGAACGTAACCTCACTCCGATACGGCACTTGACCAATCGGAATCGTGAAATCCGCACACCCGAATATCGGACATATGCCCGCACCAGTGATCTTTGCCGTCGGTGGTGTGACAGCTAGGTAAGAAGCATCAGGCGAGTCGTTGAGCTCTCTTTCACGGTAGGAAGGCAAGCCGCCGGTGCCGATGTCGTAGAGCATCACAGATTCCGAACATGATTCGGGAGTGCTGTATTGGAGTTCCTTCTCGTACCACTCTACGGCTGTGTTCTTGGTTACGAGTGCTGCGTCGTAGGTGGTTTGGTTGGTTTCCGATTCGTCGAATGCGAACCAGCCGAGGCGTCTTGCGGGATCGATTGGCGGGAAGCGGCCGTCGAAGAGTGCGGCCCAAGCGGTTATCAGGGGTTTCCCGACGACTTGCCATGATGACCATCCGTTTATTGCGCTGGTCGCTTGCCCCATCCTGGTGAAGTTGCTCGCAATGGGGTCAGAGAAATTCTGGACTGTCGCGGTGAAGTTGAACTCCTTGACGGTCATGTTGAAGATCCTGGAGACATTCGCAATGAAGTCTTGTAAGATGGGTTCGGCAGCCGAGTTGTTGAGCGGGAGGTAGTCTGTGGGGTAGAGAATGGTCTTGGGGAATGCGTTTGTGTCTGGGACGGAAAGCGGTGATAGACCAGTGATCGACGAGTTCTGGTAGAGGCTGGGTGTGTACCAAGACTTGCTGAATTTGATCCATTTGTAGGGGTCGCGAGAGAAGACTCCTGCGGTATCGGTTGCAGCACCCAACGGGATGACACGCTCGAGTGATATTAAGCCCTGACTGGGACGTTGTCCATATACACCAGCTACTGCAGCCGGTCGTCTCATCGAGGAGCCAGTGTCGCTTCCAATGGCATAGTCAAGCCAATCGTACGCAGCGACGGAGCAGCCACCACCGGAAGAAGACGCTGAGCACGTGAGCCATCCATCGCCTCTCGGATTGAATGGGTAGTGCTCGTCTTGCCATTCCCAAGGATTGGCACCGGAAGCGAATTGAGCGAGCTTCTGCTTTCCAATGACAACACCTCCGAGATCGAGGATCTGTTGCACTGAAGGCGCTGTGCCGTTCGAAACGGGCGTGATGCGAGCCCATGCCTGACTGCCACCGGAAGTTTGCAAGCCCTTGACATCGTACAAATCTTTGATCGCGACGCGCTCTCCAGCCAAGGGCCTGTCGTCTCCCCAGTAATATATGCGTGAAGGAACACTGCGATCTTCGTTAGCTTGAGACCTCGCGCTGGTGGCTGGCTGCTTACGGAATCATGGGGTCCCAGAACTTGGGCAGGAATACACCGAGCGGGTTGTGATTTTCCTGTCCATCATTCGCATCGTAGGCCCCGAACAAGAATGTGCGGTAGGTATCCGGGTAGAGCCGATATACAGTCGCAAAGCTTACGGAGCCATCTTCGACTGATGCGAGGTATGGCCCAGCTGGAAGGTCGATAGCCGATTCAAGCACCATCTGGCTCATTGAGGCCTCTGCAGTCACCGAGGCGTCCATGAAAAGCATGCTCGTGTTCAGAGAAGCAAGATAGTCGACAGCGGAGACATCCAGTGTCGACTTGACGCCTGAGGAGAGGTACAGTCCGTCCAGGAAATCATGGCTGAAGACATCGTCGCCAGCGAGATATGACGATACAACGCTTTCTAGGACATCTTTCGTGATAGTCGTCTCGTTTGTCTTGATGACGGTGATGGGGATTGATGTAGCAGAGCCGGCCGGGGTTGTGCAGCCAGCACTC